CATTGAGGTCTGTCTCTACGTTTTCCCTGAGGACTCCTCCCTTCAGATCCTTCCTGGGTCCCAGGGAAATACCTCCCTCCTTCTTTCCTTCTGTAAGTCATTGTAGTGCAGTGTCTGCAATCTGAATCTTGGACTGACCTGCTGTGCTTAATGCTCTGCCATCTTCCTGAAAGTCTCCAAATGTTTAATAGTATTAATAGAATTTTATTAGTAAAAATACCTATAAATGATTAGACCCATTTTTACCATGAGTAGTACAAGCGCCTGGTGGGACATCCATGCAGGTACCACTGGTGGCTCAAGCTGACAGGAACATGTTAAAGTTCGTATTTTATTTCTGTGGTCTTACAAATGCACATGAATTGTGGTCTGGGAGCATGAAAACTGCTGAGTAAATCATGTGGCCTTTCAGCTTTCTCACCATTACAGATAAAAGCTAAAGCCTCTACTTTTAGGGAACCTGTGGAACTTGGGTTAGATCCCCTCTTTTCAAAATTCAGATACTGCAGTTATTTTCGATATCCAGTTCAACTGTCTTTAAGAAAGTCATGGAGGGGATGAGTGAGGAGATTGTTTCCCAGATGGCCAGTGCCCTCCCAGGGCTCCTCTCTGATCTACTGTTTCTCTAGGGCCCCACCATTCCCTCTAAGGAGTCAGTGGGCCATGGTATGGAGAGTTCTGAAGCTAAGGAGTAAAAGGCACCAGCATCACCACTAGAGTGTCAAGCAGAGACATCTGCTCCCTCTAATTAGGTGTTACACGGCTGTTTTGTGAACTCATGGGCTGACCCCTTTCTGCAGGAGACACCCTTTGAAGGACCTCAGACCTAGTTCTCTCTCTCTCTCCATAGGCCTCAAGACGAGCCATGGAAAACATCCTGAGCAACACCCTACAGAGCCCAGCAACCTTGCCATTAGGCCATATCTTTTTTTTTTTTTTTTTGGTACCAGGGATTGAACTGAGGTCCTTGCACTTGCCAGGCAGGGAGTGGAACCACTGAGCTACATCCCCAGTCCTAGGCCATATCTTTCAACGGTGGGAACAAGTGGACACTGCCAGTCTGAAAAAGGAACAACTTATCTACTAATGCAATGTAGTTTGGGTCCAGTACAAACTAGAGAATGATGAAAGATGGGTAAAGGATGACTTTAAATTATGACACTACTTTGCAGATAGATAATTTCTTTTTTGGGGGCGGGGTACTGGGGATTGAACTTGGGACCTTGCACTTAGGAGGCAGGTGGCAGAACCACTGAGCTAAATCCCCAGCTCTAAATAGATAATTTCCACAAAAAGCATGGAAAGTCAAATTCTGTGTTCAGGCTTTTGTGACTATCACTGGAAAACCCAGATTCTGGCCAACTAGAGTGGTAACTATAGGAAGAGGAGGTAATTGATGCTGCTGTCCTCAGATCCCCACCTGTCTCTCAGGGGCATATGCATTTCTCCCTCCAGGTTAATAAAAACAGTAGCACTAAGTGGAGCCCTCAACGTCTTCATAATCCCAAGGAAGTAAATACTCAAGAACTCCACCAGAGGCTAGAGACAGGTGTGCAGGTGGGCCTCCAGGCCCTTGTGACTCGATTGCTGGACATGACCTTTTCTGTGTTCCATAACTGGAATCGACATCTCAGTGGATGCAGGGAAAACATTTTACAAAGCCCAACATGCATTCATAATTAAAATTAAAACCCACAGAAAACTGGAATAGAAGGCCTTTATGATAAAAATCTGATAAAAGTCATCTGTGACACACTAGCAGTCAACATCATACTAAACCGTCACAGAGATTTCACTGTAAAATCAGGAACAAGACAAGGATATCCACTGTCACCACTCCTGTTCAATATAGTTCTGGAAACATCAGACTGAGCAAGTAGACAAGAAAAAGAAAAAAGGATAGGAAAGAAGTTAAATTATCACCATTTGCAGATGACATAATACTCTACACAGAAGACCCCCAAAACACCACCAAAGTACCAGGGACCTTCACTCCCTCAGCAACCCATAAAGAACTATGGGGATTTGTCTCAGGAGGAAATAAGGCAGGAGTAGAGGGCAAGGCGGCATGGCTGGGGCACTTGGGTATGATTTGGCAATTGCAGAGACTTGTTAACCCTGAGTGTAGAGCAGCAGCTCCACAGACTGGCACATGATGCCACTCTCCTAGCATGAGATCAAGTAGCACAGCCTGGATCTAAAGTCACAAGATAGGAGATGCAGCCACTGATTTTGTGGCCCTTGCCCCCTTGTTCTGGCAGTGGCAGCCTGTCCTACATACAAGATGTTATCTTCTCTTTCTCTTCCAAGTACCTTTTTCTTCTCCAGCACTTTCATTTCTTCTATATTGCCCTAAAATAAATGTTAATCTTTCACATTCACAAAGGTTCCAACCAAGTCACTGAACAGGACAAGGATGGCAAGAGCCTGGAAAGCACTGTTCACTACCACACTCGGTAATGTTAGATTGTCACCAGAAACTGAGGTTATTAGCGTCTTCAACAATTCCCTTTTTAAAAATACTCAGAAACTTTAGATATGGGAAAAAATATAGATCAGAAATTCCCTTTAGTTCTTTTTTCCCCCTTCCCCTCTTCTCAATTCAAACCCCTTCCCCTCCCCATTTACAAAAGCGTTACCATTTTTTCCTTCTTTTTCTCTTCCCTGTCTCTTGCTCCTCTTCCCATCTGAACATTTTCTTCCTACTTCCCAGGATTTATCATCCATTTTGATATTTATTTACGCTTTTGGTTTCTCATACCAGAAAAACAATGCACCATTTAAAGATGTGTATCTGACTTATTTCACAACAAAGTATGATGGATCATCCATTTAGCTAAAAATGTCTCAGGTATATCCTTCGTTATGGCAGAATAGTACTCTGTATTGTATATAACACCACTTCTTTATCCATTCACCTGTTGATAGGCTGTCTCCAAGACTGAGCTATTACAAATTGTGCTGCTATAAACATGGGTGTGCATGCATCTCTGTAGTATGATGCTTTTAACTCTTTTGGGAAAATACCTAGAAGCGGCTGGCTCAAACAGAACCTGTAGTATTAGTTTGTTGAGAACTCTCCATTCTAATTTCCACATCGGTTGTACCAACTTACACTCCCACCAACAGTGGAGAAGGGTTCCTTTCCCCCCACACCACTGCCAGAATTTGTTATTGGTTGATTTTTTGATGATAGCCATTCTTTCTGACAAGATCAGGCACATTCAGGGTGGTATGGCTATACATTTTTTTCTGATGTGAGATGGAATCTTAATTTGCATTTCTCAAATGACATGATGTTGAACATTTTTTCATATATTTGTTTGGTTTGTACTTCATTTGAGAAATATCTATTCAGATACCTGTTTTTGAATTGAGTTTTTAAAGTTGGGGAGGGTGTCCTGATTTTTAGATCTTTATATATTCTAGATAGTAGTCCTTTCAGAACAGCTGGTAAAAAATTTTTCCCATTCTGTTGGTTTCTGTTGCTCTGCACTGAAAATTCTAGTATGTAATTGCAATTAGAAATAACTCCTTACCCAAGGAGTCTAAACTGTTTTTGGTGAGGCAGAAGTGTACCTATACAAAATAAGAAATCAGTTCCCTAGTTTAAAACCAGGTTTTGTTAGGGAACTGGTATTAAAAGCAAATAGATCTTTATTAGTTCTTCGGATTACTTAGTAATCTTGCACTCTGTTGAGCTGGAATTTGGTTTTTGTAGTTGTCTTTCTGGGGTGTGTGGTTTGAATGAATTTAATCCAAATTGAATTGCCTATGGTAGCCTTTTTAATGGATTTTGAGAGACCTGAGTCGGAGAAACTAATATTTGAAAGGAATTACATTCATGTTAAATATGGACTCATGGAGGACCTGGACTCCATCATTCATCATGGAGAAGGAAAAACGAAAGGAATTGTAGGAAAATATTTGTGTGGCAACTGTCCTAAAATTGGTAAAATGACCGGTGGCGAGTGTTTGGTTTTGTCACTCCCTTATCCTGAGAAGACAAAACTGCAGGTGGTGCATTTCTGCTACCTGATGGACTACTTGAATATTGACATTGATTTCCCTCAATGGTTACCATCAGTGGGACACAACTATGCTCATGTAGTAGTCTCTGGTTATATTTTCCAAGCAGCAAGGGCAATGTTGGAACAGTAGTAAAGACTACAGGAAAATGTATCCAAATGTATCAAGAGGCCATCTCTACACTTCCAGTGACAGAGAAAGCCATTTCACTGGGTAAATCATCAAACTGCCAAACAGGGTGTGACACACACATTGGCATAGCCATTGCCCCTGCAATGCTGTCTTCTGGAAAGGTTGAAAGGTAGCATTTTGAAACTGGCAATGTTGGTGGACTGCATTGGCCAAAGGTAACTGTAATTACTTTTAATGGATGAAATAGTTATCAGCACTGTCTTAAAGACCCTTACATATGCCCTACTTTCCTGAAGTCTATATGAATTAACTCAAGGCTGTAATGCACCGGGCCATGGCATATTCCCACCAGGTAACCGAAGCTCTTTGTGACCTTTCAATTGCTCACTCACCTTTCATGATTTTCAACCTGAAGACTGGGTCTTCTAGAAATGTAATCAAGGGCTGGGGACTGCCTCTCAAGTGCAAGGTCCTGAGTTTGATCCCCAGCACAACACACAAAAAAGAAATCAAAGACAGCTCTTGAACCCTGTTGGAGACTTAGGGTCCTACTCAAAGGACCCTTCAGGGCCTCAACTGGCTTTTAGTACCATGAATTGGAACTCAGAACCTTCCACTTGCAAAGCAGGCGGCAGCACCACTGAGCGAAATCCTCAGTCCAACTGGGTCTGTATCTTAGACTCCAGGAACTATAACCCTGATAGAGACTAAGCCAAAGCTGACTTGAGAAGTTTCTCTGGTAGATGTCTTAGATGTGGACAGCTCTTTCCAAGACTCCCCACCACAGTGAGACTTTTGCACCTCTTAATGTTTCCTTATGTCTGTATTTCATTTGATAGGATTATGCTGTAATTAGACTTCCAGACCCATCCTGCTGGCACTTGTTCATACTCAATTTACACTGGAAATGAGGTATGTTTACTAAACAGGGAGGAGCCTGTAGTTGGTAATACTTCTATAAATTCTAGATATACTCATTGGTTGTTACAGAGACTGTTATAAAAATTAGGTAGGGGCTGGTGGCGCACATCCGTAATTCCAGCACTTGGGAGGCCTGAGGCAGGAAGATGGTCATAACTTTAAGGCCAGCCTGGGATACATAATGAGTTAAAGGGCAGGCTGAACCACAGGGCAAGACATTCTCATGCCCCTTACCTCTACAAAAAAAGTTTTTTTGAATGGTTAGGACAGACACACCTGGCCATTCTGTGATTTGGTTTAGGCTGTTTTCATTCACGGGGGCGGGCTCTTGCTGACTCAAACTTCTAGTATTAGCCTCCTACTGGTGTAACAGCAGTCTCCCTGTATGGTACAGTCCGAATTGTTGAATTTTTATGTGCAGCTATCTGCTGAATATGAAATGCTCTTTGGCTGGAGTAAAAACTTCAAGAACTATGGCTGATGCATGAAAAACAAAAGCCCAGGGTAAGGCTGACTCAGAGGCTGAAGGGAAAGGGAAGTTTATTAAAATTTAGTGGAGGTTGTGATTTAGCTGGGACACCTGCAGTGGGCCCAACAAATCAATACAAATCAATACAGAGCTTAATCACAGTAACTGGGTTAACTCACTGAGATGCTGCCAGCTGACTGGTTGATCAAGCTTCCATTTTTCTGTAATTTGTTTTGTTGGAATTCTGAGACCCTGATCTGTAAATCCTTTTTATTGTCACTGCTACTATTTGTCCTAACTGGCCTGAGGAATTCTTTCTCTTACCACTAGTGAAGGCTGATGTCACTGGTGCTTCTAGTCGGGATAATTAATCATTTGGGATCCTGAAGCAGTTCCCTGATAAATGAGACCTGAGAGCTGCACATATGTAAATAAAGCAGCAGCTTATCCATCTGATGGGAGTAAGGAAGCTGACTCTGCCAAGTCTACAACTGCTGTCAAGAGGCAGAAATGAGCCCGCCCCTCTTTGCTTATGTTGAAGTGACAGCCAGGTATTTAAAGACACAGCAGTCACCCTCCAGCCTGCACCCTGTGAGCGAGCAACAGTTCTAGGAAGCAGCACATTAGGACACCTGGATTTTTTTCCCATCACTGAGGAGTGAACCCAGGGTATGTGCACTTACTTCTGTCCCCTCTCCCATCCCACCTTAAATTCGGAAACAGGGTCTAAGTTAAAGAGGTGGCCCCAGCTGGGGCTGAATTTATGATCTTCCTGCCTCAGCCTCCCAGAGTGCTGGGATTGCAGGCTTGGGCCACCATGTCCAGCTCTGTACTGTTATGTGGGCAACACATTAGACAAAATAAGGGA